TGGATACTATCCTTTTTCTTTTTTCTGTCCTTTTATACTACGAGGTGTTGAACTGAGATGCAATAGTCGGACGTTGACCAGGTGTGTTGCTCTTTGGATCGCCATGTTGTTTCTTTGGAGAGTCTCTTTGACTCCTTCGATCCATTTTTTCTTGGCCTTCCTTAATTTGCCTTGAAACCATCGATTCCCATCTTGTAGTGTAGACCTTAGAAGCTGGATGTTGTGGCCCCGTTATCATTACATGTCCAAACCACCTTATTTGTTGTCTTTCGGTGTATTCCATGCTCCATTCAATGCCCACTTGATATCTGATGTCTTCGTTCCTTTGCCTGCCTCTTTGTGTGATGTTTTATAATGTTTTTCTAAGAAATTTCATTTCGCATGCTGTTATTCTATTTTGCTGGGCTTTGTTGAGGGTCCAGGTATGGCCGTGATAGCAGAGAGTTGTTATGAAGATTGAGTATTATAGTGGGTTACGTTAACATGGAATAAAACCATAGATGTACTCAGATTCCTTTTTACGTAAACCAATGGTTACCAATTACTTTATTCACTAAGATATTCTTCTTAAAAAATATATTTCTAAAAAAGTTGATGGCTCGCAGTATTCCGAAATTAAGGTTACCCAAAATCCTGAAGATGTTTGGAGCCAACCAGGTAACCACTGGTAAAAATCACATCACTAGAAAGTATTTGGGTTCAGAGTCGATTCCTACGATTCTTATCTTTTACTATTCGGGAACCTAACCGCTCTCTACAAGTGGAGATGTGAGTTCAATTCCCGAGTGGGGAAGTTACATTATTTTTATCGAATAGTCTGTTCCTGTCTGCTTGGACTCCGTATCTCACTCATCCGAGTTTTCCCCTGGCAGTAGAGTTGAAACAGCCCGGATCCGGAAAGATTCAAGTTTTGTCGGTTGGGGCGAAAGACATATTCTAATTGCAAATCTTAGTCAAGTTTCATATTACTGAATGTAGTCAAAGAACAAGTTAAATTTTATAGAAGACATAATATTATATATGTGCAAAGAGGAATAAATGTATTTTGTTAAATTATATTTGATACAGTGGAGTCCACTTAAAATGAACACATTTAGTCCGAAAACAGCGGTAAGCCGAAAGAAAATATCATCCCCGATTTTTTCGTCTCTTTGAGCAACCTTTCTAATAAACCCGAAAATCGAAAAATAAAAATCCGGAGGCCCCGCCGGTTTCGGTATTAGCGGACTCCGCTGTATCTGGTGTAAGCTTATTATTTCACCATTCATGATTTTTAATACGGTACACATATCAGTTAAGTAAACCTTTCAGCATAATCCAAACCTTTTTAACTTGTGCCTCTGTCCTTGTGTCTATCTCAGGGGAGACGTGGTACCCACTGACGTCAGTTCCGCCATCGCCAACATCAAGACCAAGCGCAGCATCCAGTTTGTAGACTGGTGTCCTACTGGGTTTAAGGTTCGAGCTCTTTCGTCGTTTACTTACAACTTCCATAGCTCACAAGAAAGAAACCCGAAGTTAATAGCACTGTTAATGTAATAATAACCACCGACCCCCTTTCCCCCATCCCGAACCAAATATAGACCTCCTTCTCACAACTCCCCACACCCCCCAATTCCCAACTTCAACTGAGTTAGTCTTAGTACGCATATAACATCATTGCCTGAAAGTGTGACGTTGTTGAATGCCCCCCCCCTCCAACCTCTTCTTTTTTTCTCAGTATTCATGCCTGAATCTGTATGTCGTACTATTTTCGTTTTCCTCTAAACGGCCGTTACATTATATCATTCGACGTGCTTCTCTTTCTCGTTCATTCATTCCCCTCGCCCTCCCGC